GCCAGGTGAAAACGTTGGTGAATAATTGAACGCAATGGAAATGTGAGGCTGAAGCCTTATGTTCCTCTAGGAACTCAAAGAGACAATTATAATAAATAGAATACATTTCAATGGGGATGTAGCTCGTCTATCAAGAAATATTACTGTTAATGGAGGAATCACAAATTTATGTTTCACATCATCTACTGAGATTTTTTTTTACCGGTCAGACAGTAGCAGTGGTCAGTAATTAATTTTTAATTTAAAAAAAAATAATTTTATGATAGCTTGACTCCACACACTATCTTTGATACAAGCATGGAATTTCCAGTATGTGATATCGGTAGCCCAAGTTTTGCAGGTCAACCATTGATATCGAGTGTGCGTCGACCGGGTATCGAACCCCGGACCATGTGCATGATCGGCGAGAGTCCTAACCGCTATGCCACCGACGCACATAGTGTAGATGTGGTTTTTAGGATTTGGATTGTAGTCATTATATCTACCAGAGTGTGGAAGCTAAGGTACATGGTTTCTCAGTGGGTAAAAGATCATAAAAAAAGAGGAGCTGTTGTAACTTCACTACAACCGAGATGATATAGTCGACTTGTTCCAAAAATGTGGTTTTTACGAAAATAGGAAAATCAGTTAACACATGACCTATGGGTTACTACTACTGTAACAACAGAAGACAAGGGCCAGGCAACAGATCGTTTATTAAGGAAATCAACACATATTTATAGATTTTCATATACATTATTATAGATTATTGTTAGCAGACAAACACAGTCTTCTGATTGGTGGTTGTTTCTCACTGAAAGTTAATCTTGCATCTCTTTGTGGCTGTGTCAGATCATCCATATGCTAACTGTATCCGCCTACACAAAGCCTTTGTTCTCATTTTCTCACCACCAATATTGGGGGCATAAACATTGACGTCAATTACTGTCTACCAACTTTGGCTAGCAGCCAGCTCTCACCACACTACTACCACGCAGCTAGAATGACATTTTCCACCGACGCGGTGTGCTGAGTGTGAATATTCTTCATGTTGAAATCGATTGTTGTGTAGTGTTGAAAACTTTGATCCACTAGCTGATTATATATGCTGATGTTGTTCTATGCCTGTGTTCTAAATCAAATTACATGTAAACTAGACGGTTTAGAAATAGGCGCAGACAGCACAACCTTGATCTATCAAATAATGGGAATCCATGTTTGACTCATGACTGATAACAGATTAGCATAGAAAGCAAAAGGTTTGAGCGAAGAAATATTTACTTTTCAATTAGATCCTCATCTCACTGTGGCTCTACTCTAATATACATGTGTAGCATTTTTATTACAATACACAACAGTTTACCAATCAAATGGCACTGATATGTTTGTTAACAATAATCAGTGTCAAAATGTCAATGGGCTATTAATTAACGAAGAAAATTAATGAATACACACAATTAAAAGGTAGAAATGCTTACAACACGTGGATTGCATAATGCATAATTTTGGGAAGTGAAGGGTAATTAAGGAATAAGCATGTGCTCAAGTTGATTGCGTAACAGATTGTTAAAGAAAATAAAACGATTTGGACAATGATTATTTTTAAAGGTGTAGGAGGAGGGGGGCGAAGTAGTCCACTTAAACATTCATGTAACGATGGCCAAGGTAAGGAAAGTGGTTGTACGAATTTCTTCTGAACACACACAGGTTTGGCTTGTTCTTCAGGTGGATTCCTATGGCTTCAGCTGTTGTATGTAGGAGACGAACTCGTAAAGCAAAATTAGGATTAGTAGGAATGCGATAAATAATTTTAAATGCTGTATTAACATCAACCTTATGCTCAGTATCAACAAGGTGTGCTAAAACAGAGCTACGAATAGATCTTGTTTGTCCCTTGCTTAACCACGCTGGATGATGTTCGGAAGTACGATGATGAAACTGCCTAATTGTACGCCCAATGTAGTTGGCTTCACAGCTGCAGTCAAACTGGCAAATTTAGGTAGTTTATCCTTATTTCTCGAACGTAGAATAGGGATGACAGTCAAGAGACAACGCGCCCCTGCTGCACTGAAAGCTCTTTAACTGCATTCTTCAGGCGTTGTGTCACTATTTCGCTGATGTTGTCACCGAGGAACTGCAGTTTTATGAACGATGGTTTTTTTAGAGCTGTTGCTATACTGACTCTTTTGAATAGATTAACCTAGCTGTATGAACCAGACACTTCACCAGGTTACGTTTATATTTCAAAGGTGCAAAACCAAAAAAAATGAGTGTATTGACCTGTCGTTGTAGGTTTCCTATACACGCTCCTTCTTAGTGTGCCATCTTCTTTCCTTTCCAGAGATGAGGATCTAATTGAAAAGTAAATACTTTTTTCCACTCAAACCTTTTGCTTTGTAAATGTTTAAATGGGTATGTTTTTTCTATATTGAGATCAGTATACGTCGAATTTAACTTCACTTGAAAAAGCCGCCTGCAAAGGCGAATTGACTTGTTGTCCTAATGGATACATTTGCTTAATCCCCTACTATAAATATGTTTAAAAAGACATGAAACACTGATATGTGGATGACATAATAGTCATTTGTGATAAACCCGACAGACGCTATAGAAATCTTAACCCAAATCAATAGTGTACAAAACAGTATATCGCTAACATACCTCGTTAAAGAGAATAATGATTGCCTGCCATTTTTATATGTACTCATAACCCGCCGCCTATAAGATGGGTCAGTAAAACGATCAGTCTACAGAAAGTCCACATAGACGGGACAGTATCTAAATTATCATAGTTTCTACCCACTACAGTATAAAAAGGCGTTGGTTGGTTAAGTGTTTGTTCAAACTCATTCACCGTATCTGTGCTGTCGATACAATTGAGGAAGAAAGACAACACCTCACTGAAATATTGTTAGATAACAACTACTCGCTGAGATTTATTAGGCGTTACGGAAGTGTCAACCATATAGCTCTACCAATCCAATCAGCTCCCAAAAGGAATGTTTATATATCCTTGTCGTTCAGGGGTGATCAACAAAGTCTGGGCACTAAACAAAGACTCGAGGCGGAAATTAATAGAATTTATTATGCAGCTAAACTTATCTTCATAGAGAAAACAAGAACTATGCTATCCTGTAAACCCTCACAGTATATGGACGATAGCGTTACATCCCATCGTGTTTATCAATTTACATGTGTGAAGACACGTACATAGGGAGGACTCATCTGTCTCTGCGGGTTAGGGCTACGGAACATATTCCAAAGTGGCTGTAACAATAGAACAAATCAGTGGATACAGCTGATCCCGGAAATAGATTCCAGCATTATCTATAGCGAAGCACATTATAGAGACGGTTGATTTCAGCAATGCCTTTAGGCGCATATATAAAACAAGGTTGGGTCACATACTTAAATTCGTTGAAGCCTTGGCCATAAAAAGGCTTAAACCTGTTTGTCTTATGTGTCCAAAAGTTATTTGTTATAACTTTAAACCTGCCTCGGTGACCCAATTTAGTACTAAGGATCAATTTACTTCATAATATTTTCAACCCCATCTTTGCTTTGGTTTTTCTTTCTTACCCACACCTTTGCGTCATCTCCCTAGTCGTTATTTGTGACCCTGACCTGTACACAATCTGACCTGTATTGTAATGATTCATGCCTTCTTGCCTTCTATAAAACTGTGTATGACAATTACGTGTATGTGTGTGGTCAGAATGTCCGAAATGTGTTGCGCAAATACACACTATATTACACGTCTTCTTATTGTGTTGTTGTCGAAATTCATAAAGAGAACTCTAATTGCTTTAAACACTGATTGGTCATCAGTAATCATTTGTTAGCTATTATTATATTATTATTTCCTTTAGTTCCTAGAGGAACATAGGGCTTCAGCCAAACGTCTCCATTGCATTCGGTTCTCTGACCAACGTTTTCACCTGGCTCCACATCTGCCCGTATGCTTTCATCTCCTCTTCACATGACCTCCTCCATGTCACCCTCGCACTGACCACCAACTAAGTCGCCACTTCCCGTCCGGGTTCCACTTGAGGGCCTGTCTTGTAATGTCATTTGATGGCTTCCTCAGAGTATGGCCCACCAATCCACCTACATTTCCTCCTGCATATTTGTTGCACAATTGGTTCCTGCTGCGTTAGTTCGCCCCCAGAGATCTCTGTTGCTGATCTTTTCTGACCATTTGATCTTAAGCATTGAGCGGAGACAGCTGTTGATGAAGGTCTGTACTTTGTTTGAGGTGCTCTTCATGACGCACCAAGTCTGATCCGTATAGTAGCACTGATTTCACATTGGAGTTAAAAATCCAGATCATATTTTTCATACTGAGTGCTATTGATCTCCACACAGACTTCAGAGTAATAAAAGCTTGCCTTGCTTTCCCGATTCTCGCACCCTCCGCCTGTAGTTGAAACGATGCTTCCCGGGTTGGTAGGTGGGTAGGTGAAGGAGGTTGCTTCTTTCAGATTCCTCCCATTTATGCTGATTGTTGTCTGTTGTTGTTGTTCTTGTCCAGGAATTTTCGTCACCTACCTTTGTTTTCTTTATGTTCACCTGAACTCCTATCTTTGACGCTTCATCTGCCGACTTGTTGCTTTTCACTTGCATATCTTCCAGTTTGTGGGAAATCAGACATATATCGTCATCATCATCGGCGAAGTCCAGATCCTCCAAGTTTTTTGTGTGGGTCCATTTTATGCCTGTCTCCTGGTTGCCCGACCTGCTGTCTGTCGCATTATCCAGTCTACTACCCGCAATCAGGAAAATCATTGGAGGTAGTAGGCAGTCAGCCAGCCTTGTCTTATTCCCGTCTTCACTCCTTCGAAAGATTCCGTGAGTTTCCTGTTGTGGATTACTTGGCACACATTTGCTAGCTAAAAAGTGGCTTATCACTTTCATTACAAAAGTTTTCTGCATATATATTTTATTTTTAGATAGAGTGAATTTTTTTTCGCTTTTTATTGTTATAATTAGCCTAAAATTATTTCAATCTTATTTGTTTCAAGTAGAAGTAGAACCTTGCCTGGAAAATACTATTAAAAATTTGAATGATAAAATCGATAATTTTGGATCACAGTTAACAAAATTACTGGAAAGTCTACCACAGAATCCTAAGCCATCACGACCGCGTCCACGTAAATCGGAAACTCCCGCAGCAGCTAAAACTACCACCAATACTACTGCTACTACCAACGCAACTGCTCCAAATACACCCAATGCAGCGCCAGCGGCAAAGTCAACACCTACTCCAAGACCTACACCTGCAAATAAACCAAAAACTCCTGTTACACCAGCTGCTGCTGCTAGCGGTGGTAACCAGTCAAAGTCAACTCCTAATAAATCGTCATCTGTACATTTCCCTGGAACTCAATTGAACAATCAGACAGCCGAGTCAAAAGCGAAACCAAAGAATAAGGCAACTGAGTCATCGACAACAGGTAATTTTTATCTTTCAGTTGTATGACTTTAGCATCTTAGTTTTCTCCATTGACAAACAATGTACAGTCTTATTTATTATAGCTATATGGTATTGGTACTTCACATTCAAACCGAGCGGTCACATATGCGAATCTCCTACCTCACACTTATCCTTAGGCACTGAGTTGAAATTCAACTATTAACAGGGAAATAATAGGTGTGTTTGTATATATAGTTAATCCGAGGTCTGGTTTATTATTGTGTTGTGTGAATTCGGTGCAGCTGTGTGTCTCATGGTGTCATGTGCTCGATTACTAATTCCTGCCGTCTACCTACCATGATGATTTGGGCAGTAAGGTGGTAGTATCGTATCGTTAGCTTGCGCACACGTCAAGTGCAGGACATTACCGAATGTGTGTCTGGCAGTCCAGTTGGTTTTTGAGTAACATAGTATAATGTCATCTCTTGGTATTAGGTGGTTGGTGGCAGTCGGCCAGAGGAAGCCTTCGACCTAGGTTTCGTGCTAGTTGGCACTCACTTGTCCCTGCTGAGATTCAAACCTGCAGTGGGAGACGTTACCGCTGAGCTATTCAGGTTCGCGATTGACCTCCTGTAGGACTGCAGTGGATACTTTGATTGGACACTAGTCAGTAACTAGTGTGACGTGTCTAATCCTATCTTTGGTGCAGACTGAATTCTATCAGTCAAGCTTGCAATGTGGCCACCATGCTAGCTGGCTCGCCATCACGGTGCACTGTGAATTGTTGGTATTAGATGTCTGGCTTCCTGCCGATTACCTCCAACCATCTAATACGAACAATTCACAGTGCACCGTGATGGCGAGCCACCTAGCATGGTGGCCACATTGCAAGCTTGACTGATCGAATTCAGTCTGCACCGAAGATAGGACTAGACACATTACACTAGTTACTGACTAGTGTCCAATCAAAAACGTCATCTGTTGTTTATTTGTTCTTTCAGTTATATTGGAAACAGTTTATGCCGGAATTTCAGTGTTGGTTATTTCGTCATTGAAAACCGGGGAGCACTGAACAGTCGTTTCGTTCTAGTGATTGGGAAAATGGTTTATTGGTATTCTAGGCCCCTACAAACATCCGTAATCTTAAATTTCAATCTCCAGTTCATTGATGGCAACTGGATGAATGTTCTGAAGTGGTGGTGTAGTGAGCAGTCGTCATTGTTGGTTGGTTTGAAGGCAGCGCTGTATGATAGCGAACTGATAAAGTCAGAATTCACGAGTCCGTTGGATTCCAGCCCAGATGATTGAATGGTAAACGAGCCTGATCTCGGGCTCGATTCCTGGTAAGGTCTTGGGCGCGTACTGATGAAGAGTCCAATCGAAACTAGGATGAAACAGCTGTCAAGTTCCCCCGCCCCCGCTAGTTTTCAATGATCTCTCTAACTGATGTTGGTTCGTAGCGAAATCTTCATTCAAATTAATCCAGACACCTTCAAAAAGGAATGCTAACAAGCCTCTGGTTATTTCATAATACTTTTGTAACGACAGAAGACAAAGGCCAGGCAGCAGATCGTTTATTGAGAAAATCAAGAGATATTTATAGATTTTTATATGCATTATTATTAGCGTTATTGTTTGCAGAGAAGCAACGACTTCTGATTGGTTGTTTTCTTGCTGAAAGCTATTCTGTACTGCTTGTTAGGCCATATATCTGCGAATCGCATTTGCACACGTTAAGTCTGGTGTGATTGGTTGTTGAGTTCCTTAAGGTTAAGCGTTGTTGTTGTATTTTCTCATGGCCCCGATTCGGGACGATAAACATTGATGTAAATTGCTGTCTACAATTTTGGCTTGCAGATAGCTCTCGCCGCACTTAAACAGAACAGAAAGGATGTCGATTGTATCCTAAGACAATAGCAGGAATTTATAAACGTTGTTTATTAAGTTTACAATCTCAGAGAGTCTTCTGCACTGTACTGTGCTGTACTAGAGTCATTGAAATTAACCTCCGATAATTGGAGAGATCCAACTGTGGGTCTCACTATTATTGGTTTATTTTTTCCCAACATTTCTATGTTGACATGTGTTCACCATGAACTCATTCATGGAATTATGTGGTACGTGGCAGTTAATTTATTACGCAAGATCATATTTTTGTTAGTATTAACAACATTGAAGAAATATATATGAAGTGTTAAAATCGATTCGGATTTCCCGTTGATTGACTGAAATGTTCGGTGTGTGTTGACACGTCAGGTGCTAGTACGCGAACACCTCGACGATTACTGAAGATCAGCACCGTGCCGTCCGGTTGTTGATGGGTGCTAGTCTCTAGCCTCAGTGGGGCGCATCATTCACCACTCACTGGGAATGCAGTTGACGAGTTCGTCAGTCCGTGAATCACCATCAATCAAATATACAGTTTGCTTGTAAATCCCTTCATTTACTGACTGACTAGCTCAGTTTCAACATAGAACTTTGCACAAAAGTGCATCAGTTTAAGTTGTTACACTTCATGTAGCACACAAAATTAGAGAAATGTCAGGGTTGAAGAGTAACTAACATGTAAAAGCCTATTGGTTTAGTGGATATGGGTGATCACAAAGAGTGAATGCATCTGCGCCATTGTTAGCGATTCTGAACTATATCAGCTAAAGTCTCAAGTAATTCGTTTTTAGCTTCCCAAAGTCCCCAACCAGTCTGCCAGCCAGCCAGCCTACATCTCCCTACCACATGACTCGAACCAACTGTCAACAATTTCATGGGTTGATGGCAGGTTTTGCTTTGACCACCTTTAACTCTTTTCTAACTCACTCCTATGTCAGTTAACATTGCTTGTCCAGGAGGGTGATCGGTGGGTGTGCTCAGCATGTTTCCTACCCACCTCATTCGATGTGATTTCATAGCCTCGTCGACTGGCTTTCCCTCCACTCTACGCCTAACCTCAATCTTAGTCACAGTATTATACCACTTAACACGAGAAATAGAACGCGAACATCTGCTTATTAAGTGTTTCATTTCGAAGGGTTTTGTTTTTCGTACTGCACTGAGGTCATTAAAATTAACCTTCTAACTGTGAGTCTCACACTGGCACGCCTGTCTGTCTGTTTTCGACATATAACTTTGCACATATGTGTGGCAGTTCAATTCCCCACACTCCATGTAGCACACAAAGCAAGAGAAGAAAGTAGGAGAAATGCGTATTAGAGACAGTAAACAGAGGTGTGAGACAAAGGAATAGTAATTACAAAGAAGGATATAGTTTCATTGGAAATCATAAGTCACAAGGAGTGGATGCATCTTCACCAGCCATCACCGAGAACGATTTTGAGCCATATCACCAGTTGTCTCCAGCCTTCATTGGTTTTTACCGTCCTGACGACCCCAACCAGGAAACCAGTCTACACGTTCCTACGTGGCTGGCTTAAACCAACCGTTGTGGATTTGATTGACTGATGAAGCCATGATTTCGTTTGACCACCACTGGCTAACCCTTTTCCAACGTGACCCTATGTCAATTAAAATTCCCGTCGTCGAGTAAGGCAATGGCTAGGCGTGCGTAACACATTTCCTAACCATCTCTCTCAATCGGTGTAACATCAGTGCCTCGTCTATTGATTTCCCCTCTTCACTTAGCACTCGACCGATGCCTAACCTCAATATGGCTCACCCTATTATAACATTTCACACGGGAGATAGAACGCAGACACCAATGATCAAAGACAACTAGCCGGCCTTTTCATGTCTTCCACCTTCGACAGCCATTTCTCACGGCCATAAAGGAGGATGGAGCGGACTGATGAGCAGTACACACGCCCTTTGGTCGATAGCCAGCCGGATGTCACGTCTACGCCAGGAATGGCGTAAACTGGCATATGCGAAAGTAGCCCTCTCTATCCGTGCTGAGATTTCGTCAGAGATCAACCCGTTGGGGCTGATGGTACTTCCCAAGTAAGTGAAGTGGTCAACGTGCTCTACCACTTCACCTCCTATTTCTAATCTAGGAGTCGGTGTAGTCCAATCCTGTAACATCATCTTACATTTGGCGGGAGCGAATCGCATGCCAAACATTCGTAGATTGCAGCTCAAGGTGTTCAGAAGACTCTGCATTTTGTCAGCGTCCTCGCCTAGAAGGACCAAATCATCTACATATTCTAAGTCAACGAGATTATTCCCTGGTAACAAGTCAAACCCTGAGTCGCTGAAGTGAGTTAGGGTTAAGTCCATTAGTACATCTATGATGAAACTGAATAGAAATTGAGATAATGGGCATCCCTGACGACGGACAACACTAGTCGTCACCACTTCAGATGACAACTCACCGTAAGCCCTCACCTGGCTGCATGAGTACGAGTAGAGTGCCTTAATCAGTGCAATGTATTTTCTCAGCATTCCTTTTACAGCCAAGCATCGCCAGAGAACCTCTCGGTCGACAGAATCGAATGACTGTTGGAAGCCGGTAGGAATGCCTATGTTCTAGAATCTGTCGGAGGGTGAAGATATGATCAATACACCCTCTTCCTGGCCTAAAGCCTGCCTGGTTTTCTCGTGTTTGTGCCTCTGGCATTGATTTATTTGTTCCCTAACGAACGCCAACACTTTAACGATTACTGGAAACGGACATTGTGTTATTCGACTAGTGATGAAGTTTAAGACATTGGGTGCTGCTTTTGAGTCTTGGTGGGAAAGTCATCCTTCACTCACTGATATGATACATTCAACTGATGAGTCCCAAACAGAACGCATTACGCATCCCGGTCTCGAATCCTAGTCACTATCAACCAAATATATAAAGTGGGCTTGTAAACTCTTTCATATAGATATTAGTTAGCATCATAAGAAAGTGACGTGCGTCAGTGGCACAGCGGTTAGAATTCTCACCGACCGTGCACATGGTCCGGGGTTTGATCCCCGGCCACAGACGCACTCCTTTACCGCTCTAAGCCAGAACTAAAGCTAGTGAAGAGGAAAGGTTGGGCATGAGGCTGGCTAGCAACCCCATCCTGTAAAATTAAACACTGCTACAAAAACTTCAAGCAACTAGCTTGAGGGGCCCTATGTTCCACTGGGGAACGTGAAGGAAAAAAAATAAGAAAGTGACACCTTTTAAATTCTCACTTTTTAATCAATTAATTATTTATTTATAACATTTATGTGATTCAACAATGCTTTCACAATTTCTCTCGTTACATTTCAGTTAAAGCATCTGACGATACAAATACAAATGCAGATTCTCTGTCTACAATCGATAGCGCCATAAACAAAGTATTATCACGTATCAATAAAGGCAAAGATATTCATATCGGCTCTGCATTACAAGAAAGATTGAGTGGTTGTGTCAATGGAAAAGACACTGTATTATCATCATCAATCGACTATGATGTAGATATTGATTCCTCACCACCGCTACCGCCAACACATATTGTCGAAGAGTATCGATGTCCTGTTGGATTGCCTAAAAGAAATCTTGTCGCCATATCACCAACTGTCTCGTTTACTGTGAAACCAGTTCAGAGTAGTGTACCGCCATCATCATCATCGACAAAGCGAGATTATTCATCAATAATCATAGAAGAGCAGGATGGTGTGTCTGCTCAAGATGATTGTACTATAATTGATGTTCATACAAGTGGAGAGGAGAAGAAGAAGAAGCATAAAAATAAAAGGAGGAAGCAGGACACACAGGAGTAATATATTTAAGTATCATTTCTTGTGTATTCATCAATTATACAATAATACTCTGATTTGATGACTTTGTGCATATTTTTGTACATATCTGTTTTGTTTCTTTTATATATCGACATGTATTCTCCACATTAATATCCATTCATTTCGACTTCTCCTGCATATTCTCTCTCTTTCTGTATGTGTATTATAGACTAATTTGACGTAATATATCTTTATATATATATATGTAAGTATACGCTAATATAACCAATATTCTAAGGCACAAGATATTTTCTGAACTGTTTGAAATTTTCTCAGCGTTGAGTAGTATATTTACCACCAGTGTCCCAAAAGGACCTGGTACGTTGAAGAGTGTGTGGGTGCGTGGGTAGACTTTGCCCTTCCTGTCAAGATGTTCTCATGTGTGTGGCTATGCGTTCTTCATAGCCTTTGCCTTCACGCGTCAGGGGCGATTCTCGCAATACAGTGGAAGAGCTAAAAGCAAATGTGTAAGGTATATTGAATATTAAACAGTAAGAGGATTGGATATTTTGATGCGACAAATGTTCCTCAACATTTATATGTGATTGCGCTATGTCGTGAACTAGCATAAGTTAGAGTGCAAGAACCATTAGATTGGATGCCAGTGGCTCAATGGTCTAAGAGCTCGCCTTGTAACCAGAAGGTCCTGGGTTCAAACCCCTGTGAAGGGTGCGTACAGATGAAGAGTCGAAACAACTGTCCAGTACTCCCAGGTTTTTCAGTGGTTCTCTAACTGATGTGAGCTCATGATGAAATCCTCCATGTAATCTACTTGTCCCACTACATTTCGTTTATCCTTCCAATTCCAGTGTACTAGACAGTTTAACCAGAAACTCAAGTTTATAACGTTTGACAAAAGGTATATGTGCTCAAGTAACAGTTTGTACACTAGTGTGAATATTCATCCTTTATCTGATAACAGAATTCGGATTTTAAATAACCCGAGGAGAAAACACGTTGTAAGGACGAAAGATGCAACTTCGCACGGAAGTCCGAACAAGAGTTGCCGCAATTCCAAACTTGCAAGAAAACGACACAAGTTGATATTAAAGAGAACAGAATGGAGATTGGCGAGAGTTTTCAACCTATGGAAGGTACAGAGCACAGCCGTACTGGCATGGATTTTTAGACAACTTCATCCGTATTCTCGGAAATTAGGCACATAAGCTTGAATAGAACTTGCCGAAACTGTGATACTGTCCCAACGTCTGTACTGAAGCAGATGACTTTTGTGGAGGTGGAATAGACAGCAGCAGAGAAAAGCCAGTCATCTTAATGTGTAGTACTCACCAAAACACCTGAACATTAGTGCTCTTGATAATGGAGACAGGTGGTCGGACTTTGCGGTTACTGAAGTCCAAAACAGAAGATTACTCTTGAGTCTGGCGCCTTAGACTGTGGGAGAAGGCAAATCATAAGTGAGACTATTTCTGAGAAAAATGGCTCCTTAATTAGCTCTCAGGATAGACGCCTTGAACGGTGGAAAGAACACTTTGAGGAACAATTTAACTTGCCTACAGCCACACTAAGCCTCCCCACCATCCAGCACACACTCGAATGGGATATAGACACTGGCCCAACGTCTGTGAGGTCACAAAAGCTATCTGTAATCTGAAACGAGGCAAAGCGGCAGGACCCGATGGAATTATTCCGGAGGTGTTTAAATATGGGGGTGACATTCTAGTATATAGTTTAACTAAGGTACTAGGTAACGTCTGGGAATCAGAGACGGTTCCATCAGACTGGGGTAGTCACTTATTATACCGATATTCAAGAAGGGAGACAAGTCCTCATTTGATAATCATAGAGGAATCAGCCTGACGAACATAGTCTCTAAAATCCTAGGCTCAGTAATCATGCACAGACCAAGCCGAACTCGGGAGGAACAAACGAGGGAAAATCAAGAAGGCTTTAGACCAGGTAGAGGGTCCATAGATCATATCTTCACTCTCCGACAGATCCTAGAACATAGACACACTTTTAGGCGTCCGACAATCGCCATATTTCTTGACTTGAAGGCGGCCTTCGACTCCGTGGATCGAGAGGTACTATGGCAATGTTTGACTATGAAGGGAGTGCCAAGAAAGTACATTGCACTAATCAAGGCACTCTACTCAAACTCACGTAGCTGTGTAAGAGCTTATAGGGAATTGTCATCTGAATTGATAACAACCAGTGGTGTCCGTCAGGGATGTCCACTTTCCCCTTTTCTGTTTAACTTCATCATAGATATGCTAATGGAAGTATCCTTAACCGAACGTAACGACTTAGGAATCGACTTGTTACCAGGGAATAGTCTTATAGACTTAGAATACGCAGACGACATAGTCCTGTTAGGGGAGGGCGCTGACAAAATGCAAAGTCTTCTAGACACCTTGAGCAGCAATCTTCGTATGTTTGACATGCGATTCGCCCCTGTAAAATGCTGCTACAGGACTGACTGGACTACGTCAACTCCTAGCTTAGTGATAGGGAGTGAAGTGATAGGACATGTTGACCACTTCACCTGTTTTGAAAGTTGTATCAGCACCAACGGACTGATTGGCGACGAAATCTCAGCACGGATCCAAAAAGCTCGGGCTGCTTTCGCTAACTTACATCATCTCTGGCGTAGGCTTGACATCCGTCTGTCAACCAAGGGACGTGTGTACTGCTCAACAGTTCGCTCCGTTCTTCTCTATGGCTCTGAAACATGGCCAATACGAGTTGAAGATATGAAAAGGTTGACTGTTTTTGATCATAGATGTCAACGATCTCTTTCTCGCGTTAGGTGGCATAATAAGGTAAATAATGTTGACGTTAGGTGTAGAGTGTTGGGCAAAGAGGGAAAATCAATCGAAGAGGCTATAAAGTTATATAGATTGAGATGGCTAGGTGACGTGCTGCGTATGCCTAACCATCGTCTCCCCCGACGGGCGGGCATTACTAGCTGATATAGGTAGGTGCAGGTTGGAAAAGAGTAAGTGGTGGCCAAACAAAAACATGGCCCCATCAATCCATGAAATCCCTGACAGTTAAACTGAGTCAGGTAGGGAGATGCAGACTTCCGGGTTGGGGCCCTCGGGACTCTAAGAATCAATGGCTGGAGACAATAAGTGACATGGCTCAAAATCGTTGTCAATGGCTTACGCAGATGTATTCAGTCTCATATTCCTTTCTACCATTACTCATTCCGTTTCACTCTTATACTTGTCAAAACTCTATTGATTCTCTTCACTCATTTTCTTGTCTACGTTTGTGTGCTATTTGGAACGTGGCAACTCGAAGTGCTGCACTTCTGTGCCAAGTTCTATGTTGAATACAGACAGAGGTGGAGGTCATCATGAATTGACTGTCGACGTTTGGAAACACTGGCTTCCGTGACTCCTCGGATATGTGCTAGGAATGTCATCCTAGAGTCTTCCGTACCAGGCTTAGTTTGCTTGCCCTGAGAGTGGAGTAGAAAGGTGCAGAGGCAGTCAGTCCATGACTTGGCGTCGTGAGATGAAGGGTATTTGTGTTAGGTTAGCGTCGTCTCTTAGTGCATCACGACTGTTTGGTTGGGGTCCGAGGCGTAATTCGAATCATTGGCTTGAAACGTTATCAGATACGGGAAAGAATCGCAATCAGTGGCCAGTACACTGCAGTTTCCTTCTTTCTTCTTTTTCTGAAACTTATATGTTGTAGTGAAACTGCTGAATAATCTTGACATGTGTACTTGCGTACTCGCCTTCTGGACGATGTACCTCATTCACTCTCTCCTTATTTTCTTTATATATTGCTGTGTGGCGCACCTCTTAGTGCATGTATAGTGGTACCAACTTTGTGCTTTAAATAACTTCAGTAACAATGTGTCTGAAACTGTCAATCAAATGCTTGACATTGTTATTGCAATAGAGTAAGACTAGTAGGATATTATGGTATTTCATTTGACAGACGGTAACTACCAGTAGAATTCAGGACGCGCGTTTCTCCATATTTGGAACTCATCACAACTGGGTGTACTGCCTACATCCGAAGTGAGTCGGTGTCCCCCCTAAGGCTCGAACCCAGCATCTGCCTTTTCAAACGCCATATCGTTATCCACTGAGAATGCATGTATATCCATCTGTGACGACTACCAGATTAGGACAAAATGCGCATTGTGGATTCTGCTGTTAGTCCATCACCATCCAAATAATAATGATGATTATGGCCCTATTCTGGACGAAATGTCAACGCAGTGTGTAGAATTGTCAGAGCAATTTATTGCGCAATATTTTCTCTCCATCCAGGTTCTTCGAGTAAAATAGCACTTCATAGTACATCACGTTACTCATTGCCGTTTGATATTTTCGCTTCCTCTTCGACACACGCGCAATTAAAAATGTGTGTGCTGGAAGGAAATTCAGATAGTCTAGTGGTTCAAGTAGGCCACCAATATGCACACAGTACCATAATGCTAACCGCAAGGCATCGTTGAAGCGCCCTTAATCAGAACTGACATGTCAGCGGAGACCAGACGTTATGCGATCCCCAGTAAAATCAATAATGGGCTGTGGACATTTAAAAGTAGTATCAAATAATTTTGGTATTTTATTTCATAGATTCCTTTTTACTGGTTACTAGCTAATACATTTCTAATATCAGGAGGATGTGCAAAACTTTCACGTTCTTTCACTGATCTAAGAGAAGTTTTAATGACACAAATAGAGAGAGAGAGAGAGGATTAGACAATAAAATATCATTCAGCCACTGGGATCCCAATTCAGTGGCTCATGAATTCTAACTTCTACCAATTCGTGATTTAGCGCGACCCCAACCATTGTCGTTGGTGGGACATCCATCCACACACGTGACATCTAATTGCACATACGAGCTTGCCTTGTACCCGGAAATTCCTGGGTTCTAACCCTGGCAGTGGGTGCGTACTGCCGATGATTCCCAAACTAGTATGAAACAGCTGTCCAGTAGTCCATGCTGGTTTTCACTGGTTCTCTAACTGATATCAATCCGCGGTCAACTCGTAAAACATAACAAACCAAACTATAGAAAATTAATCTGATGCTCGCTAGTGACTTGCTACAGGATGGAGTTTCCTGGAGTTCTAGTGAGAAGTCGTGACCAGTGAGGTCCAATTAGATGTCACGTGTGTGGATGGATGTCCCACCAACGACAATGATTGGGGTCACGCTAAATCACGAACTGGTAGAAGTTAGAATTCATGCACTGGCCACTGAATCGGGTCCTGGTGGCTGAATGGTATACGAGCTTGCCTTGTAA